GGAAATGTGAATATATTGAGACTTTGATCGTCGACGTATGAACAAAACTGATTTTGAACATAATAAATAGGCATTTGACGATAGTATTTATTGACAATATCGTTATGAATCGGCTGCACAATAATCCATCGAATAATTAGGGCTATTATGGCAACAATTATCGTAAGTAGGACGATTAATGATGAGATACAACGAATTACTGGTTTTTTCTCATTGCTTAATGATTTATCAATAGTTTTCATTAACGAATTAATTTCATTTTTATTTTTATTCACTTTATGCTCCTTCTTCTTCTTGCGAACATACCAAATGATTTCCAATATATAATAGAATAAAATCAGAACACCAGTAATAACACCCAAAACGATAACTTCTTTTCCTGTGGCTGACACTGAAACACTAAAATGATGAACAACTTCATTCTCAAACAATTTTTATTCTACTTACGATATTCGCATGTCTTTCCTTCCCACCAAAACTTGCATTCGCATCTCCATACATCACCACTTTGATTATTATTATCATCAATGCAATATCCACGGTTACCACATGGATTGAATATCGAGCAATCTTGAATAGAAATCAGATTTATATGTTGAACCCATTGTTTTAGATAATTTAAATCGATTACTCACTTTGAACATCGATCTGTGTTTCTGTGCGAGTCGTTGCTAATATGACCGTATTGGACACATTCTTTTTTATTGACGAAAACATATACCGATCACTTATCACCTTAGCATGTGACTATTAAATTATATGATATCATAATAAATATGCGTTTCGTGTCACACTTGACTGAATATGATAATTAGTCAAAAAAAAAAATGTTCTCTTTTTTTTACTTGCGTATGTTCTATATTATTAACGGCTAATTACATTGACAGGAGCGAGTCTCCTTATTTACTTCAGATATTAATCGCTTTTCTTTTCAATATTGATACACAAAATATTTTCGAGAGCGTAGTGATAGTACACTATTGAAGTAGTGGTAAACCCAGAAAAATTTTCTGGGATATAAGAAGGACTCAGTCTCATCTAAAACTGAAAAGCAGTATATTTTTCCGATGACAATGGTACATAATTTCAGTCGTGGAGGAAAATGAGTTCAGCTTGTGCTGTCACCTTCTGGATTTATCACCAAAAAATACGTCTACACACTATCGAATAGCTAAAATAATCATATTCATTTACATTCTACTTCATTTTTCATGTTTTTCAGCAAGATAATTGAAGCGTTCTCTAAATAGAAGAGCATAGCCTTCTGTTATGGATATTCACGTCACTGCTTCAAAAGTAGTCTTTTATTTTTGACTACTATTTTTTGTGCTAGCATTTACCTAGAAAAACTTTTCTGGTATTCAAACATATGTTTTTTAGCAATTAAGTATCGGAAGAAAAAATTAGAATGTCTTCACTTGTATTTAATCAAATGGGCTAATTTTCTCAGTTGATCATAGAGATCTGTGCAACGTTTTTCTTTTTCATACGGATAATGTAAACAAATACTACTTTGAAGTATTGTGATTGTTTTCACTATAGACATTTAACTCAATGTCAAGTAACAAAAATACATTTTTCGAATCAAAGATAGTAGAATCCCTGTTATTCATTACTCAAAAAGAATGAAATTCATAGAAGAGAAAATAAATCTCAACTAGCATGCGAACCGAGATAGTATCACAACTAGAAACTAGCCAGACGCTTTTACCAACTAAAGTATCGAGACACAGTCTTAACTGAAAATTGAAATTCAATATGAACATTTTTTTTTCATCGTTTCGAGTAATGAATAATAAACTATTTACCATCTTTTATTCTTTGTGAAAACTAACTGTAATCGACCTCAATAATCGAGAATTTGAAAATATCGGTGTCTATTGCTTTTGAATTCAATCATATATAATTATATATAAATGCGTTTGACAGAACTTTTTTATTCATTATTCAAATAAAAGATGGTAAAAAGGTTATTATTCATTACTCGAAAAGATTAAAATAAATGTTCACATTGAATTTGTATTTAATTTAAGACTATGTTTCAATAGCTTAGTTGGTAAAAGCATCTGACTAGTTACCAGTTGTGATACTACCTGGATTCGAATACTAGTCGAGACTCATTTTCTCTTCTTTGTATTTCATTCTTTTCAAATGATGAATAACAGTCGTTCTACCATCTTTTATTCGACTAATGAATAGAAAGATTCTGCCATATACATATATATGTATATATATATAATTATATAAAAATACATTTATGACGAACGACAGATTATTTTCAGTACACCTCTAAGGCAATAAAATCAAACCAAAGTAACGTATAATGCAAAAGTAATGGCACAAAATGTTGACCCTTATATTTATTCATAGATACCGCTCTGAAAGAAAGTTTTTTTTTCATCAATCGACAGGAACTTTTTTCGTTTTTCGAACTGCATATGACTTGTTTTTGTCATACACTCACAAACAAAACAACACGAGAAGAAAAAGAAGCATCCTAAAATAATTCTATAGTTTTTGTATATTTCAAAATAATGATATAATATCTCGACCACTATATCTCTCTTTTAAACACGTATTAATATGATCATTTTTTTAACCGTTGATAGAAAATTTTTTGCTCTGTCGAATTGTATATAACTTGTTTTTGTTGCATATTTATAAACGAAATGAGAAGGAAAGAAAGAGAAACATTCGACCAAGAAATTTTCAATTTCGTCATTGATTTATCAAAGAAATCGTTTAAATCAACTGAAATAGCGATTGAGTGTGTGAGTATGGGCGGATGAGAGTTTGAGTGTAAGATTTACTTTCACACATCTATTCCTCTGGTCTCAACCCAAACACCGACACCAATACCCACATTCACACCCTATTTCATTTAGATTGTATTTTATTATTTAGATTAAATATTACCTTGATAAACCTGTGTGTTGTTCACTGGAACATGAGTTGATTTGAAAAGAAGAGATAATGATCGAAGGGTGTGGTTGTGCGTGAATCTGGATGAAGGAAGCAACAATGTTCACAATCATACTCACACCCACACCCTCCATCACAAGATTTAAGTAAGAAATTTTGAAAGAAGTAGCTTATTTTCATTTCACTTGATTGAAATATGTTTCAGGAAAAAGCACATCATTTATCAAAAAAAAAATCACTTACAAATTTTCGCTTTCGCAATAAGTTTGTCTAAGTCGATAATGATTTTTTTGTTTGTCCAATATTTTACATTTTAAACATGAAATAACATTTTCATTTTACTCGATAGCAAAAATCAATTCCCATCAGAAATTTGTCTTATTTTGTACCGTTGGACAGTTAGCCATCGTGGGAAAAATAAGAGCAGAAAAGTTTGCACCCCATCATACCGACTATTAAGAAAATGTGTCTACAATGAACGACCTCGACAATGTAACATCGATAACCGTTGAGACAATTCTTATCAGCTAATACGAAGCATTTGCTAGAAGTCTTTCGAAATTGATGTAGAAAATTAAATAATAAATATACCATTAGTGATATCAAATAATGGTGTTGCAATATCAACTAAGATGCACGGTAAAATAATAACTCTTTGAATGTCCCTATTTCTTTGCTTTCTTCTCCTGAAAACATAAAAGTAAGGAAAATTTTCAACCAAAAACAAATGATAAATCAAATTGTTAGTTAGTTCGATATATTTTTCATTGAAATAATAGAATTGAATTCATAATAAACATTCGTTTCTTCTAGCAATCTCGTTTTTGACACTCATATATCAACATCTTTTTTTTTCTCTCACTTTGCTTGGATAATTGAATTGTTTCGTTATTTATTAGTTTTTTTTCCAGCAAATGTTATTTCATTTGATTTGATTAATATCAAAACAATAAATAGAACCGATTGGTTTTTTTTATTCATTGAAGGAATAACTGAAATAAAGTCTTCTTTTTAAGAAGAATGGAAAAACTATTTGACTCTTCAATTTATAATTTATGTTCATTGAATATCCTATTCAGATAGTCTAGACTTTTACTTTTCTAAGAAAAACTCTTCATATTCCGATGGACTGTAAATTGAATCAACTAAAAAGAAAAGATTATCTTTAGTTCAGATAGGAGATTACTCTTCATTAGAGATTGGATCTTTATCTAGTAAATTTGAATAGAAATATCAATGAATATTTTAATTTGTGCTTGATCAGATAAGCCTTGGAAAGTCATTGAATCAACTTCGAAAAATAAAAGATTGATTAGGATTTTCTCGACAACTATCTGATGTTTCTCATATTGCGAAACACCTTGTAAGCAAATGGTCTGACGATTAGGTAATCGCTGGGAGAAATGGAGAGGGTACTGATGTTAATCAACTCTATGGGATCTTGTCCTGATCGATTGGAAAAATCATCATGTGACGAAATGACCACTTGATATCAGAGAAGTTCCAGCGTTTCTTCAAGATTTTTTTTCTCTATTCAAAATCATGACTGTTTATGTACTGCTCGTTTTCTTTGTTGACAAAAACATGATTTTGTACGTTATATTTTGTTTGTGTTCTGTCATTGATGCAACCTACATTTTTATATTGGCAAGAAGAAAATCTACTTTTTCTTTTATCTGGCGTCTGTTCTCTTTTGCCCTAAGAAAATAAGAGAAAAAGCAAAAAGTGGGCATATGTTTGTGCACGTATAAAAGAGAGCGAGTGGGATATATAAGTGTGTGTTTGCTTAGATAAATGACGATGACCCAATCATTATCATACTTGTTGTCGACCAAAACACCTTTTTTTTGTTCAGATCTTTTCTCTTATTTTTCAGATGTCATCGGCTAATTGAATAGTTTCGAATGTTGAAGTTAAATATACTCAAATCTTTATCAACAATGAATGGCATAAAGCAACAAATGGAAAAACATTTTCTCTCATCAATCCAAGTACAGGAGAAGAAATCTGTCAAGTAGAAGAAGGCATTAGAGTATGAATCTCTGTATGTTCTTCATTGGTTCATTATCTATTGTGATTTTCAGGGTGATGTTGATAAAACAGTTGAAGTTGCTCAAACAGCTTTTGATATTGAATCACCATGGCATAAATTAGATCCTCTTTCTTTCTCTCAACATAAGTCAATATGTAGAAAGTGGAAACACTTAACAATGGTAAACTAGTAGAACAGACTAAAGGTGAAATATTTTTCTCAGTTGATTGCACTGAAACCAACTGAACAAACACCACATAGTGCACATTATCGTGCTGCTCTTATCAAAGAGGTAAGATATTATCATGTCGATTATACTTCGTTGTTGTCATGATGATCTAGGCTGGCTTTCCACCAGATGTTGTCAACATCATACCAGGTAAAGTGAATGATATTTGTCATAATAATTTCATAAGAATATTTAGATGATGGGCCTGAATGTGGTTATGCAATAGCTGTTCATGCACATATCGATAAAGTAGCTTGTACTAATTCAGTTGAAGTAAGAACATTCACTAATAAAACTAAAAAAAATGAATGTGAAATATTTGATTGAAGGTTGGAAAGAAAATACAAGAAGCAGCAACTACATCAAATCTTAAATGTGTTACACTTGAACTTGGTCAGTAACAAATACAGGATCATTTTCATCTGAGCTATTCTCTTTTCACATATCGGTGGAAAATCTCCTTTGATCATGTGAGGGTGAGGATGAGTATTCTATAAGACTTTCAAATAATCAAATTGATTCTAATACTGAACAAGAATCACAAGTAATAACCTCTTTAATCTAAAGAAAAGTTCACTTTACTTGTATATGATAGATGAATAATAGTTAATTTCAATAGATTTTGGACTATATAGAATCAGGTTAAAAGTTTGGAGATAAATTACAATGTGGTAGTGAACGAGTTGAT